ACACAACCTTCATGGAAGCGTCTAATTTGCTCCAAACATTGTGTATTACATCAGAAGTAGGAATATTGTGTCAATGAATGAATGAACCGGTGGATGCAATGATAAGAATAATGAATTTAATCAAAGATAAACAAAATCAATAAGAATAAAAATAAGAATAATAACAAAAATAATAATGGAATGGTCAAGAATGAAGGAATACCATATAAGCAATTGAAAGGGAAATGCCAGAGATGAAAAGAAAGAAAGGCATTACAAAGTCGGCCAAGTGCAAATCGTTCCAAGGGAAATGAGCTATGATTGGGAAAACAGATCCCCATAGTCCACAACCATCATTAGCTGATAAGGAAACACATAAAAATTGAATCAATAACAATCTTGAGGTTATTGATCAGCTTATTTCGAGCTTGTAATAATAACTAGTCATCAAAACATAACAAAATCAAACAAAAAGAGCTCACAAAACCAGAGAGGCCTCGGAAAACATCAAGAGAGGCAACACGAGAGGATGATAAAGACGAATGCTTTTTAGTTGCGGATGCACAAGATTTTATTGACGATCTTCTGCCATTTTTCTCGATTTGTGAATCTCTGAGAATGAAGAAGAGCAGTGCATATGTTTGTTTATGCTACTTACTCTCTTAAATCCTATCCCCTGTTTAAATACGAGCATATTTTTTTTGGAATTGTGTGCCCTTAATTTTTAAATCACAAACATAAGTATATCAAGGAATAATGAACAAGCATGCAAAGCACCTGTCAAAACCTAGCACACTTATAAACCCCAATTTCATACATCCAAATGCAAACACGCACATGAAACATGCACATGACCTTCCCTTGAAAATAAAATGAATTAGATGAAAAACAAATAATAAAATACCTCTGCAGGAAATTCATCAACAAAAAAGTTGAACTCCTCTCCCCACATAGGATTTCTGGAACCACGAACCATTGAACTGCAACAATTCAAGTAAGTAATTACATTTTTGAATAAATTCAGTAGCTAAGTAAAACAAAACGAGATGGAGTAATAAGGAGGACCTAGCCAACCAGAACAAACATGAGTATATATAATATGTAAACAAAGGCACCAAGCTTCCCATGTCCAAAGCAAACCCCTTGATGTTCAGAATTTATCTTTGACTTTGTTTTATGAACTTTAGACAATGGAACGATCGAGTAGCCATTAGCCAAGATGTTCAGAATTTCAATAATCCTTTTGATGTTTTTATTCCAAATATAATATCCAAATAATAATAATATTATAAAGACGTATACTTTTATTAATTCAACTTACACACAATAATTTGAAAAAAACTTATTCATTAAGACTAGGGGTGGGCAAACGGGTCTTGGAACCGCGGTCCGGTCCGGGTAATGGCGGTTCGGGTCCAAAACGGGCCGGTTCCATTTTTTATTGCCATAAAACTGTCCGAGTAGGTTCGGGTAATTTTTTTAAGGACCCGGGCCGGTTCTAAAATAAAAAAATACCGGGTACCTGGCCCGGCCCGTTATATATATTGTATATTAATTTATTAATAGTTTTGTGATAATCGGTTTTGAAATAGTTTTGTTTTTATTTGCTAGAAGTCGGATTTTAAATTGAGTTGCAGTAACATCATTTGGCTTTCAAATTATTGATTAAGTTTTACATAAATTTCTTATTATTTTTATTGTTATTGAATTATTCCTTTCTATGGAATTTAATTATTTGTTAAAAATGATTTTGTAATTTTTGTTTTTATAATATTGTTCTTAAAATATATAAACTGTGATTACCACCCCCATGTATGTGTCAACTTTGGCCAATACTGAAAATTTGTTCTTAAAATATATACATATGTATGTGTCACCTTAATATGTGATGTTAGACAACATTTTTAAATTCAAATGTTAGAAAATATGTATTTTGGCTATGTTGCTGGTTTTTGGAACTTTAATTATTTGGAACTTATATACATGAAATTATGGAGTATTGGACTCGTCACTTGTGTCACAAGTGCACCATTATGTTGTTATTTTGAAACTTGCTAATGTACTATATTATTAATTATTGATTTTTGGAACTTTGTGAGTTTTTACTAATTTTAAGATATGAGAATAGAAACCGTAAAATCCGGACCGGACCGACCCGTTTCAAACGGGCCGGGTAAGGTCCGGTTCCTATTTTGAAAATTGCAATACCCGGATCGGACCGTACAATGGAACCGGCGGTTCCACTTTATTTTGCATTACCCGCCCCGCCCCGCCCCGACCCGTGCCCTAATAAAGACACTTGAGGATTGTGTCAACAGTTTGGTGATCTTCAGCCTTCTTTAAGCAAATGTTTGAGTTTGGGATTGATCCAGTAAAAATCTTGGTTGCAAGTTCAGCTTGGGTATTGATTGTTTTGGTGAAGATGATGAAGGAGATGGTTATGGTTTGAGAGTTCAGGAGATATTGAGTTTGCATGTATGAGTGAGAATGAGAGATTGAGTGAAAGCAGGCAATTGTTTGAGAATGTGATATAAATAGCCGTTTGAGGAGAGAGGAAAGCAACCGTTTAAAAGTTACCATTGTTCGTTCTGAAAAGGAGGTGTAGTTATTTCACCATTATTCTTGTGTGGATATAAGGTGGCACGTGACTTGTACATGTTCCAATAAGATTGGTAGCCTGCCGTTTTTCGCTAAATTTCCCAGATTCCAGCTAACTGCAGATTATTTGATGAATTTGGACGACTGTCTTCATTCCCTTAGTGCCTTAACAGTTTCCCCCTAAATTGGTGGATTGTTTGATTTCCCCTGAACATCTGCATTAAATGATTTTGGACTTTTGAACTATAAGACTCTATTATCAGTAGGGTGCTCCTAAAGTTAGGACACTACTAATATCAGAATAATGCTCTTTTTTATCATCTAAGGACACTACTGATTATATGGTGCTCCTAAATTCTTTAGGAAGCTGCATTAATGTAGCATGCTCCTTAGAATATATATTAGGACGCTTTTAATATGTAGGCTGCTCCTTTTGTCCATTAATAATGATTGTGTATCGTACCAAGCTCCTATCTAAGTGTGTTGAATCTTGCTTCATTTAAAGCTTTGGTGAAGATGTCAGCAAGCTGATTTTCAGTGAAAATGTATTCTAATCTCACATTCTTCTTTTCAACATGTTCTCTGAAGTGATGTCTGATGTCAATGTATTTGGTTCTGGAATAAATCATAGGGTTATGAGTGATGACAGTAGCACTTGTATTATCACATAAAATCTTTACTTCTTTTCCATCGACACCATAGTCCAACAATTGTTGTTTCATCCAAAGGGTTGTGCACAACTGCTGCCTGCTGCAATATATTCGGGCTCAGAGGTACTTGTGGTTATTGAGTTTTGTTTCTTGCTGAACCATGATACTAATCTTCCTCTAAGCATTTGACATGTTCCTGAAGTGCTTTTTCTGTCAATCTTGCATCCATCAAAGTTTGAGTCTGAGCAACCAAGTAATTCAAATCCTCCATCACTGGGATACCGTATGCCTGGAGTTGGATTGCCTTTGAGATATCAGAGGATTCTTTTTGCTGTGTGAAGATGATTTTCCTTTGAATTTGATTGAAATCTTGCACATACTCCAACTGACTAGGAAATGTGTGGCCTCCTCCCCTCCTCCTCCTCCTAAAGAACTTAAATTAAATCATCAAATTGACATGCACCAAGATAGAGCTATTTATTGACAACAAATCACCCATAGATTTGGCTAACAACCTAGTCTTACATGGTTGTAGCAAACATATTGAAATCATGTTTCTTTTTCTAAGAGAGCAGGTGAATAAAGAAAGAGTTTGGTTGACTCACTTCAGCATAGAAGATCATACAGTTGATGTACTAACTTAAGCTTTGAAGGTTGACAACTTTAGAAAACTTAGGAACATGTTGAATGTAATCGGTTTGTCAAAGTTTTAGCTATAACAGTTTGTTTGTTGTAAGGTTTGATATTATGGAGGATGTTAAGTAATACCAAAACCCTATATCTATGCGTACTCAATAAATACATGTAGTGTGTGATGTGGAATAAGAAGAGACTTGATGATTTGGGCTTTCTCTCTTTAGAATTCTGTTTGTTACTTAGTTCTTTGCTCTAACAATAATAGCACCGTTAACGCTTAACGTTTAGAAATGTATAATAAATTCCCTATATTGTCCTTCACTGAACTTCACACACTCTTTTCCCGCATCTTGAAACCTCGAGTACACTCTAGCTACTCTCCTCTAAAAATTACTCAACGATGCAGGCAATTGTTCTGCTCTCTTCCACTACTTCTAAGTTCTAATTGCCGGAAACCTTCGCTAGTTCATATATTCAAACGTCCAAATCTTACATTATGGACAATGGATTTTGAAACATTTATTTTCGATTTAGTCTTATACTCCCTCCGGTTTTTAATAAACTTCACACTTTCCTTTTTGGGACGGTCTAAAATAAACTTCACACTTCCTTATTTCTTTTTTTGGCAAAGAAATCTACACCAAAACAGTGCCAAACAGTGTCTCAACAGTGCCAAACAGTGTCTCTACAGTGCCAAACAGTGTCAAACAGTGTCTCAACAGTGTACTCTACAGTAAAGTCAAATTTCTTTCCTTATTTTGTGTGAAGTCAAACTGTGAAGATTAAAAAAAAAACCGGAGGTAGTATTTACTTTTCTCAAATATGTAACTTTTGATCTGACATGCATAATTGTGGAATAATTCAAATAAGTGGTTGAATGTGAAGAAAATGACTATTTTAAGTATTTTCATGCATTTTTTTAAATCAGCTAGCAAATGGACTATCTTAGCTTTTCTATTTAATTAAGTTAATGTAATGAGAATTTCATTAATTTCAACAAGAGATTGAGCCAATTTTATGTTAACACATGTGAATTTGAATACATAGAATTCAAAGTTTCAAACTACAAAAGAGTTTGACCATCTTATAGGATGAGTGCATATATATACAAATATGCCAAACAATGAATAGCTACAAAAATCATCTACATATCAATGATATATCATCATCCTCATCCATACCATGTAAATACTACGTATTATATATAGAAGATATAAGGTATATAAGTAACAATTTATTTATGTTTGTGTGGAACAAATAAAGGAAGGAATGTTGAAATAATTATTATGTATCAGCCCTCAGCAGGTATACTGGGCCGCATCTGATATGGATCTCGGGGTGCCGTCCAATAAGCAGTCAATTGGGGGTATGGTCAAACTCTCCAGAACCCCGTACGCGTTCCAACAGAAGGGATCGGCCACCGATTCCCCTTCCGACGGCAGCAGCTCCACCTCCGACATGACGATTCCGGTGCAGGCGACGGCGTCGCTGCACGCGAAGTGAATCGGCGGGGTCCTGACGTCGTACGTCCCCTTGATGTTGCGGTAAGTGACGTCCCGGACGTAGACGGCGGAGGTCTGGTTGCGGCAGTCCTTGGTGAGGCAGTAGTACTGGTCGATGATGACGCAGTTACGGACGTTTTCGATCTGGATGGTGTCGAACGTGACGGCGCTCACGGACCCCGTCCCGCCTTGCCACGTCTTGATCCTCAGCCCGTTGTCCGACTCTTTTATCACGGAGTTCGTTACTGTTACGTTAGATACGCACGCCTGTGAATTGTGTACTCCAAGGCTCCCTATGCTGCTTGCGTCATATATGAAAAAAAAACAATTATTACCATTTCGGAATCTTTTAGAAATAGGACTATGTAGAAATAATAATAAAAAATTAAAATGGGGATACTCACGGGTTCAACATTTGTTTTTTAGTAAACAAATTGAACTTTAGAGGTTGTGTGGTTATAGATAGGGGTGGAGCCAAGATGGTCCCGATTCTAAATAATTAAAGCCCAGTACCGATACGATTTGGTTCGTTACCGCTTCCCGTCCAGATCAAAACAGTACCGGGTCTGGGTCAGGTCCAGGCCGGTAGCCGCCCATTAATTAATTTTTATTTCTTAAAACTCTAGTCGTTTGGCTTGGACCGGGCCGAGCCCCAAAATTCAAGACCGGAGCCCGCCATATTCAACCACGGTCTGAGTATCAGGCCGGTATCGGTACCGGTACAGGAAAACCGGGCCCGGAGCGGTACCAGACAGTACCTGTCGGGCCGCCCGGACCCGTCCATCCCTAGTTACAGAGAGAAAGTATTTGAAGAGTGGCGATTTCCCTAGGTTTCTTTAGGGTCTGATTTTTCGGATGGGGTTTAACGCGTATGGCCGGAAGTTTGTTCAGCTATTGGGCAGGGAGCCTGCATAGAGACTTTGATGATTTGAATAGTGAAGCTTGAGAAATAATAACATGTTAACTATGGAGAAGGAAGAGGAGAGTGGGGTGCTGCAAAGAGAATAGTTACCTAATTCCATGACTGGGCCCACAAGTGACTGCATTGATCTCAACATTAGAACATCCGGACCCTATTGATATGCAATCGTCCCCTGCAAAGTGTAAAATTAATTCATTAAAAGTGATCATGGGACGGTAATTTCAAATCAAAGGCATTATTAAAACTTAATGAATCTGGACCATTAGCGATGACAGAGTCGTAGATTCTGACACGTGTGGTGTCCTGGACGTGAATGCCATCCGTGTTGGGACTAAGCTTGGGGGAAGAAATAGACAGATCATAAATTTCAACTCCATCGCAACCGTCGAATTTGAGGTGGAACTGAGGACTATTCTGGATCCGGAGACCACTGACCACCAGATTGGAGCTCATGAAAAAACGAATGAGCTGCAGCATATATTCAATCTCATATCAAATTCTGAATTTGACTTCTCGAGCTCTTTCAGTATCCATGATTGATGATTACAATTTAACTTTGAGTTTGAGATCAAATCAGACAAGATGAGTCTAAATATGATCCAATTTAAATAAATAAAACAAAATCAATTTATATTCCAACAGTTATAGTGTTATACCGATTCAGATGATCGCACTACATTTAAACTAATCATATTAGATAATAAAAAAATTCAGTCTGATTAAAGCATTTTTAAAGTGAATACGCTAAACCATATACTTTCTCTGTTCCCTTTTAATTGCAACAGTCAATATTTCACGTTTGCAAACACACGAGTTTGATCATTAATATCTTTCAATTCTTATTAGCAAAAAAATTTAAAAATTCATATTTTGAAAATTTAGAAAGAGAAGAATTTAACAATATTATTTTAAAATTAAATTCGTAATACATTAATAAATAAACTATAATCAAAATAGAATGTGTGAATAGTGCAAAAAGTCATATGTTACAACTAAAAGGGAACGGAGTAATAAATTGGATTTTATTATTATATACGTAGTATATACTACGTGTTAACAACAAATTTGTTCAATACTAATTAAATGTTATGAATCTGTAATTTTTCTTGTAGTACTAGTCTCATTCATTAAAATTAGATTGTTAAACTAAATCAATCATACTCCGTTATAATTTAATTTGAAATGTTTACTTTTTCAAGTTAGCGCTTTAAAATTGACCTCCATCCGTCCCTCAAGGTTTGTCCTACTTTCCCGAAATGGAAGTCCCAAAATGTTTGTCCTACTTTTTTATTTCCTTATTTGACATACAAATCTTTATCAAACAGTGTCACTACAGTGCCAAACAGTGTTGCTACAGTGTCAAACAGTGTCACTACAGTGTACAGTGCCAAACAGTGTTGCTACAGTGTCAAACAGTGTCGCTACAGTGTAAAGTCAAATTCATTTTCTTAATATCTGTGAAGTCAAACTAGGACAAACATTGATGGACGAAAGGAGTATTTAATAAGAAGTGTTTAGTTTGATTTGTTTGTTCAGCCTGATTTGAGTTAAAAGATGTGTCAAAGAATATACCAAATATCTCACAGCACAAAATATTAAACTCGGTTTGGTGACTCTGTTTTCAGTTTATCAGTTTTATCAGTCAAATTTTTCAATAAGCACATAATTTTTTGTTTCGCGAGCTGAATTGGCTAAATATCAAAATAAGTAAAGTTAGAGATATATACATTTCTGAGTGAATAAGTTGAAATTACTTTAAAGGGAAAATTACAGAAAACGTACATGTGGTTTAGGCCGTTTTAGATAGGGGCACATGTTTCATTTTTTAACAAAGTGAGATATGTGTTTTAATTCTGTTATCACAGCTAGGGCATGACGTCTAACGCCGTTAGAAAAATTAATTCTGAGTTTCAAAAGTTTCCAAAAAATTAAAAGAAAAATATTAGAATGTGCGTCTCATCAAGAAGACCTCCAAACCATTTTGTTTTTTTTTTGTTTCCAGCCACCCTGCCTCCAGAACGTCCACCAGAAAAGTAATATTAATGAATTCGTTATTAAAAGAATAATCCAAATAGTGTCGAAAAATCCAAAGAGAACGATAGTTGGTCAACTTGACGAGACGCACCCAAGTATTTTTCTTTTAATTTTTTAAAGACTTTTGAAAATCGAAGTTAATTTTTCTAACGGCGATAGACACTCACCTGATAACGGAATTGAAACACATGTCCTACGTTTTGTTTACTTTTTCCTACATTAAAAGACCATTTTAAAATATATTTTTCTTCGTTTTATTAATAAAATATATTCCAATTTTTCCCTTATAAGTCACAAAAATAAACGATTCAAACATTTTAGTAGAACTTCATAAATTTTCTCACAATCTGTCAACCAACCAATCGGGCTCTAAACCATGCGCTCATCTTTCTCATTCAATAAATAATGATTTTCGTGAAAGAGAATAAATGATGAAGGAAAAAGGTGCAAATAGTCCCATGTACTAACCAAAAAGGTCAAATAAGCCCATATTTAGGAGACTCTGTCCGGCCGTCGTCATTTGGGGTGGTTTCCGGTGGAATTTTTTGATGAAATTTTTTGAGCATCTTATTCATCAATTCTAGTTTAGTCATACCAAATTCCAGTTAAAACTTCAATCGGGAAGGCATTCAAATGAATTCTTGAAAATAACTGCGCAGTCAGAAGCGCAGTTATCTTCAAGAATTCATTTGAATACCTTCCAGATTGAAGTTTTAGCTGAAATTTGTTATGAGTAAACTAGACTTATCGAATAAGATGCTCACAAAATTTCATCAAAAAATTTCAACGGGAACCACCCCAAATGGCGATGGCCGGACAGAACCTTCTAAATAAGGGCTTATTTGATCTTTTTTTGTTAGTACATGGACCTAATTAATAATGAATATAAATTAAAGGACTAAATTTTGTGAATTTAGTTGGATCACGGGCGACCATATTCCGTTTTGGTGAATCAAAAGACGTCGTTATCATCGTTTGTCACTTACCGCCGGGCTGTCACATGGTCCTCGCAATGTTGATCCCTTTGGTCCCTGTGATGAAATTAAAATCACGTCACTTTGTTTATGTTTAGTACTTGCATATTGTTTTTTTTTTAAATAATCTTGTTTAGTATTCTGCCAATTAATCAATTATAGATTATGGTTTTTCATATAACATTAAATCAATGAAACTTCTATATCTTCTTCACGGTCTTCTGTTTTTTTATTTACTTTTATTAAGAATGTCGTGCAAACACAATGTCCGAATTTAGATGTTTATTTGACATTGTGAAGGAAAAGTTATCGCAAAATCTCTCATGTCATATATGCACAACACGCGTTCGCACATATTGCTGTATTGCATATGCTATTTCCACATTTAGACATTCATACCTCAAATATGCCAAATAAATTGTAGTATGTCCGTTCCGGAATAGCTTAATATTGTAGCATCATTTATGTTGCCTAACATACTTAATTTCTTTATTGTACTAGTATTACTTTATTTTTTGCGGTCAGTTAATTTTTGAATGTGATTCCTTATATTAAACTCTAACATTAAATTAATATTATAAGAGAAGAATTAGTTTTATTATCAATGTAATTTATGTAATTGACCAATCAATCCAAAGCAAGGTAGACATGTATGTTTTCATTCATTTGAAGCAACTGTTAGCTGAACATGTGCTTGCTAACTCTATGAAATGACTGCTCAAGGCAAAGGTTTCTCTCTTGCAAAAGAAATGGCAAAAGACGAATGCATAACTGTGATATTTTGAAAATTCTGAAAAAACACCATTTTCCCATATATATTAGGGCGTGTTGATACTTGATACTACGTATATGTTTTGACTTGAGAGGGGCAACTATTTTATTGTTTTGATGCTGGTGTGGGATACATACATTAAGATGCACCGTGGCCCAAACTAGACTGAACATTATGGGAGTGAATAAACGGATCAAATAAACCCTTGGTGAACTTATTTTGATTATATGTGTTAAAAAATACTACGTAGTCAAATTTGATAATTGGACTTGTATTTGATATCAAAATGTTTTTGTTTTAAATCAATCCATTGAGAGAGATGCTTTAACACACCGTTTTATTTCCGAATACAGTAAGTTCGATACTATACTAACTAAATATAAATATTTTTGTTAGCTTCAAAATGTCTTTCTCTTTCAATTTACGAAAAATGTTCTATGAATGGTGTTGATTCTCCGTTGTCCAAACGAAGTTCTACCTACTTGTGTTTTAATTTTTTTTTTATTTATCGTGTCAAAATAAAAGCGTTAGTGAATCAACGTGGTATTCAATTGGTTATGGATAGAAAACTGGTCATTTGGTCAAGGAAAATGTTAAGGGGACACCAAATAATTTGTGACACTAAAATGGGAATTTCAAATATTTTATTGTAAAAAGTTTGAATGAGGTGACATGTGAGAGTATATTTTAAACATTTATAGTACAATACTCCGTATACTGCAATATTTTTAACATATTGCACTATAATTATTACCCGGTGAGGTTTGCAGGGGAGATCCCACCATTTCTGCCCATGTCCTTCAATAGTTCCCGTGCCGTTGAAAGTCATATCATCAAGCTTGTAAAATACAATCCATTGCTTCGCGCTGTCCTTTTCCGGCCAGCATTCCGGCCCGTCCGGCGGCATCAGTACTCCGTCCACCTTTCCATCCAATGCACTTAATTACGGCCAGGATAGCTAGGATAATTAAATAATCTCATTTCATATTTATTCAATTTAACCCCTCTCGTCCCCTCTTATATTCAATGTTTATGCTGGATTACTCCTTTAATTAGAAAGATTATAAGAATTTTAGAATATTGTACGTGGATATGTATAAAATGTTTTAAAATATTGTGAAGTTTTCTAGAGCAATTCAGAGTTTTAGAAATGTGGAGTTTTCTAGATCCTTATAGAAGATCAGAGGAACGTTTAGATACTTGAAAAACTTTAGAAATGTAATTGTGTATTTTATTGAAAGTTCTAAACAGATCTTGAGGAGATTTGTGTAAATAGATGTGAAAACCATGAGACTCATCATTTCTGTGAGGGCTTTGAAGAGACATATATTGAGTATTTGAGTGAGTGAGGCCGTGAGGGTGAGCGGTTCTTTGAGAGAGGAGAGTGAGAAAATATTACAAGTATGTCTCATGATAATAGAATTAAGAGCATCCTTGATGGGGAGAGGAGATAATTCCAGAAGGTTTCTCATAAATGTGTGAATGAAGTCATCCCAAATTTAAAGAGTGAAGTAAAATGCTTGTTTACTTGAAGTAAAATGTATGATCTCTCTTGTACATTTTAATTGTATACTTAATAGATCGAACAGTGGATATTATCATACTGAGTCTTTGTATTATCGACCGTGTTTCCCAACAATCATGTTTAGAATGTTTAACGAACTTTTATCTACTTACTACTATAGTCACTAGAATCACTATATTTAGAAAAATCATTTTTTTGTAGACAACATTTATTTTAGATAAATATATATAGTTATTTCTTTACATATTGTCAACCAGAAATTATAGTTATCATCCATCAACAATCCTTTATACGGAGTAATTGATAGTACTGACTGCCGAATAGTGTATTACATTCGTCCCCCTAACATTGATACGAGAAAAGGTACTGCGTTTATCAAGAAAAGTGTGGTTGATATTGAATCGATAAAATAAGAATAAAACTAAAATGATTTATATATAACACAATTGTTACCAAATTTAGTATGAGATAATATTAGTGAGACAAATCAAAGAAAAGATTAAACAATCTTAATGAGATTGACAGAGTATGATTTAGATTGGTTTTTATGAATAAAATTTGATACATGAAACCCGATAATAAAAATAAATTACCTAATTCTAAAAAAGGACCAAGTTAACTACATGAATAAAAATGGTAACTTTTTTTCTTATTTACGGAGTATTTTTTAATAGATAAAGTGAAAAAATAAGATCACTATTGTTTTCAACTCATCATTCCCAATTAATAGTATATCTTTAATAGAATTAATTAAATTTTATTTTGAGAATAAAATATATTCGCTCTGCTCTTTGTCCATGTTTTAGTCATCGGAGGTATTTCCCAGGGAGTATTTTTTTTCTTTCAAAAAGGCTATTTCTTAGTACGGACTACGGGGTATTAATTAAGTTTGTGCTATAGATAGTACGTAGTATTTTGTTTTTGTATGTATTCACATTTTTTGTACATTGTGAGACTTTTGAGTTGAATTTCCCCTACCTTCCCTCAAATCTTCCAATGACAGAGACACCGGCCATTCTCGATATCAATTTGACAACTCCGGTACCTTTCTAAAAACAAGGGTATCGTACCTAGCATTCATTTGATTGGACCACATCATTTTATCAATTTTAATTTAGATTTAATTAATTCAACTGCTACCTTTTTATTAGTTCATGTGGACAAAGGTATGGTACCTTATGGGTACCGTATAAACTACCTTCTTATTCATGTGAAGAAGAAAAAGACTCTTACCTGAAAAACAAGTCCGGGCTTGCAAGGTCCGGAGAAAATGGTGGAAGTGATCATAAAATTAAGGTCTGGAGGAGCCCAGAGAAGAGCATCCTCAACCTGGCAGGCGGCCTTCCAAGCATCCACAAATGCGGCAGTGTCGTCAGTATCGCCATCGCCAACCGCGCCGTAGTCGGTGACGTCAAAAACGCACGGCCCAGAATCGTCGTCGACGTCGGGCGGCGGCGCGCCTTCAACGGGGTCGGAGGGAACTACGGCAGGAACCGGCGAAACAGGGGTATTGTCCTCATCAGGGGAAGGAGCCTGCAGCATTTTGTTGTCGTCGTTCTCTTGTTTCCTGTAAAAGTGTCGTCTTCCTTCAACACTACAGCCCGTGATTGATGACACAATGATGATGATCATCATCAAAGACTGCAGCAAAATTATCCCACGGAGGCCCATCGGAATCATTTGCCGGCTAACTGACCAATGATTGAAGCAGTAGTTAACAGTTACACTAGCTAGCTAGCTAATAAATTGAAGACACGATATATACAGTATGTACGTACTACTGCTGGTTCTGTCCACAACCCAAACTGTATAGTACGTCTAGATGACATTAGAGGGTCACATGTGAGCGAGAGAGGTGGTGCATGGCCGGAAAAACGAGAGTCTGAATACATACTCTATTATATAGAGTGCTATATTCCAAAAAAATCTTGCACTCTAGCTGTAATATGAAGAAGTCACATGTTTCATAATCTTTTTGTAACTTTCCATAATTCCATTAATCTTTTGGTATAAATATACTACTTGTACCTTAGAAAATTACAGTTGGATGTTTTTTATTTTAATATTTTCACTCTTGCCCATTTGGCACTCGCAGGTCACATTTTAAAAATGTAATTCCATACGGAGTATAATTTTAATAATATTTCGATGGACGGTGTAATTCCAATGCCACCTCATAAGTGTTTTAGTTTACCCAGTACTCCCAAGCTAAGAGCATCTCCAATGATAAAATGTGCACGGTGCACACGTGGCATGAGAAATAGCCACATAAATATTAGTAAATAAATTCTTTCTCTCCTTATTTGAATGATTTTATACAGTTTTGGTAAGTTTTTCTCCACAATGTCAATGAGACCGTCTAGATGTTGACATTGTTGTTGACATTGCAGGGACAAACTTACCAAAATTGTATAAAATCATTCAAATAAGGAGAGAGATAATTTATATGCTAATATTTATGTTGCTATCACTCATGGCACATGTGCACCGTGCACATTATAGCATTGGAGATGCTCTAAGGTCACATATTGAAAGCACGTCCCTTTTTTTATAGGTACAAACTTTTTATCCTTGTTTTATCCTTAGTTAAAATTAATACTTCGTATAATTTTTTATTTATAATTTAGTTTTTTTTAAAAAATTACTCCGATGGTATAAATATTTCATATAAAAAAAGGAAAAATAAAACAATTTTTCTTAAATCTATTTTAGCGGGATTTGTTTTTTAAATTTTACATATACAATATTGATATCATATGAAAGATAAAAAATTCAAAATATTGATTTAAAAAAAAAAAAGTAAAACAAGAAATGAAAATGTATAACAATTGCCAAATTGAAACTAATTGCTATTATGCTATGCCATGTGGCAGCCGATACTCGATAGGATGGGGTGAATATCAAGATCATCAATTTGGAGGCCTCAATTACAAATGGCGGATTGAGGCACCTAAAATAAGAGAAAAATACAAATTTGAACAATGGAATACAAATAGACTAGACAATTCAATGAAATACTAATATAAGTTTGATGATGTTTAAAGCACACAAATTAAAATATCTAAAAGTTATATACCTTTTGAAATCTCGAATAATACATAACATCTAGAAAACCAACTCATAACTAATACAAAGTATTATATTGTATATTTTTGGAAGTCTTCTATAAGAGTGATCGAGCCTCAGTGTTAAGCACCTATTTCACCTTCTAGAAGGCGATCACGGTGAATATCACCTTTCTTTGGAAGAGTGGATCGGACAAAATTGTTCTCTAAGAAAGCACTCGTACTAGTATACTACATGCTACTCCTGTTCTTAAATAAATGCAACACTTTGACTTTTACACTATTCACATGTTCTACTTTGAATACATTTTATTTATTAATATAATAATATTATTTTATGAAAAAAATATTGTTAAACTTGTCTCCTTGTAAATTTTCATAATCTAATTTTTTTAATTTTTTTATTAATACAAAATCATTTATATTAATGGTCAAAGTTGTATCTCGGCAAGTGTCAAATATTGACCGTTGCACTTATTTAAGAACGGAGGAAGTATATTTTATTGAATGAAGAACAAAATCTTGGAAAGAGAAACAAGGCAAAATCACAATTTGGGTATGGAAAAAGAGAAACATAGAATAGGAGCCGAAGGATGAGAGCCCGTGAACCATATCATTTGGCACTACTTGCTTTGTATGTCGAGTTGAATTTCACGGGGAAGTTGCTGCTGCTGGCCCAATCATACTCATCCACCTATATACTGAGTAGTACATATACTCCGTATTTCTTTTACATTAGGAGGCATTTTTTTTTGGAAAATAGTTATTTATATGGAAAATTCTTAAGGCACACCTTGGGTTACACCCTGGGTACACCCCATTTATTTGCCCTTCACACAGACAAAAAACGTAAAAACACAGACACTTTCGATTAAACTGTCGGTGTGAGTTTGCAGATCTGTCAGGCTGGTTGCACGCAAACCAATGTCGGTGTGCACAGAAACTAGTTGTCTGTGTAGACAAAAAAGTGTCGGTGCGAACAAAGTTGGTTTGTAAGTTCAGGGGGTGGGAAACTAGTGTTGGTGTACACAGACATTAGTTATCTGTGTAGAAAAAAGTGTCTGTACATATACAATTTTCGTCGGTTTTCTTTCCTTCTCTCTTTTTACGTTTTATGCACACCGACACTGGTTTCCCAACCCCCTGAACTTGCAAACCAATTTTGTTCGCACCGACACTTTTTTGTCTACACAGACAACTAGTGTCTGTGCACACCGACATTGGTTTGCGTGCAACTAGCCTGGCAGATCTGCAAACTCACACCGACAGTTTAATTGAAAGTGTTTGTGTTTTCATGTTTTTTGTCTGTGTGAAGGGAAAATAAATGGGGTGTACCCCAGGGTGTAACCCAGGGTGTACACCAAGAAGGATTCTATTTATATTAGTAATAAAAACCATTAGTACAAAAAAAATTCTGATAACTTAAGACTTCAATGAGATGTGCATAAAATTGAAAAGTTTCAGAGGAATATAATAATTCGTTAACTCCACAAAGATGTAAACTCCCCAATTAAATAAATAAAGAATACTAAAACTAATACGTGATAGAAAACAAATAAACCGATTTCACCATCCACCGACAAAGAAATAATAGAAAATCTAGTTTGTCCAGTCACCAGAAAGAAGCAATGATATGAGTTTTCTCGTACTTAAAATATGTGTAAATAATATATATAGTTTTAGTACGAGCATCATCTCCAAAGGTACGAAAAAAGAGAATTAAGTATTACCAATAAATAAATTCAGGAATTCAAAATAAATAAATGTGATGCACAAGATTTGATTTATGGAACTAAAATAGTGCGAATAAAAAGCTAAATTAAAGGGGCTCTTTCTAATTAATGACAGAAGGGAAACAGAGATGGACTCCGGAGGCAACTAGATTTCGGGACTGAACAGACTTAATCGCACGAAAATTATTTAATTGAGTAACGCAGATCAATATCGTTGAAAGAATCGAGCGAATAACAAACATATTCGTCGATTGATTCTAGTAATAATTAATATATGAAACAAAACCAATTGATTCTTTAAGTAATGCTCAAATATTAATATGAGATATAAAATAGAAATGTAATTAATATTCAACGAAGATGATTAAAGAAAATAACTCACAGCTTACAAATCATAAACTTTAATGTAGCAAAACCGAGATGGAAGAGTTTAGCTCCTCATTTGGAAACTAAACATACTAGAAACATATAAGAAAGTAGGACTGGGTCCGAAAAATTGAAAAGCGAAAACCGAATCAAATCATACCGAACCGTAGCCAAATAAAACCGAACCGCTAACAAACCGAAACTGAATGTAAAAAACCGAACCGAGCCATAGTTGTTTGGTTCGGTTTTGGTTTTTACCCTTCGAAACCGAACCGAACAAACCGAACTAATAAAATATAAAATTTATTTGTCAATTGTTATGCATTAATTCGAACTAATCCTAATATCATTAATAGTCTTTGGTTTTCTTGTGCTAGAGAAATAATGTTTATGTTATGTTTATTTTAGATTAGTTTAGTTTATAAATTCATTTACACATTCATTGCCTTTAATAATGTAGCTATACTGAATGATGATAATATGTTTTTACTAGTTGTTAGTATTGATTAATTTTTATTTTTATTTAACTTAAAGAACTCATATTGATGAAACAATAAATATCAGAAATTGATCTAAATAGGAGTAAAAACTTTTTGAAATTCCAATATAGGACTATCATGTTATTTATTCCTTGAACATGAGTAATCTGCCAAATTTGAAAGAAAAAATGCCATGTTTAAAGCTTAGTAATGTCAAACTTGGCAGAAATTTATTTCTATCCAAGGAATAAAACATGATAGTCCTATTTTGGAATTGGAAAATGTTTTTGCTCATATATAGGGAATTCTCTCAACAAATATTCATCTCAGATCAACTATATCACATAGAACGTATATACTCATGAACTGTTTTTTACTAGTCACAAACAATGTAAATTAATAATATATACTTCCTCCGTTCTTAAATAAATGCAACGGTCAACATTTCACACTTGTCGAGACACAACTTTGACCATTAATATAAATCATTTTGTATTAGTAAAAAAATTAAAAAAATTAGATTATAAAAATTTACAATGAGACAAGTTTAACAATATTTTTTTCATAAAATAATATTATTACATTAATAAATAAAACGTAGTCAAAGTAGAACATGTGAATAGTGTAAAAGTCAAAATGTTGCATTTATTTAAGAACGGAGGTAGTATACTTTTATCTCTCTCGCAGTCTCGCATACTCATATAATTCAAGACATATTTATTTATTTTCATTTTTATTTTATTTATTGTACTGTGCTTGCATTCTTTATGTTATATGTTTGATCCCTCAAAGTATTATATCAATTTTAAATCAAATGATATTTTTTTTGGTAAAAAACCGAAAAAACCGAAACCGAATCAAAACAAACCGAACCAATCAAACCGTGGTTGCGAATTTTGGAGTGTGAAACCGAACCGAAACCGAACCGAAACCGAACCGAACTTTTTTACTTTGATTCTATAGTTGGTTTTAGGTCAAAACTGAACCCACCCCTATAAGAAAGTACTTAACTAAAATGAGCTTAGAAGTATATAGGAATTGATGATTAAATGGGAAGGAAAATGGGTATATTTATAGGTGTTTGGAGTTGGCCGGGTATATAAGATACCCGATCAGGTAACAGACGAATCTTCACAAATATTGCTCCCATTGCATGGTCATTTCTTCTCGGATTTGATTGAGACACTCGAATCAAGTAAATCCCTGATCGGGTATATGTTATACTTACCTGATGTGAGTTTTCTCGCACTTAAAATAGTTTATAGTAAAGGGTAGAAGTACGAGTATCGTCTCCACACGGACGAACACAAGGGAATTA